TGCTGCTGCTGCTGCTGACCTTTGGCTCCGGCCCTGCCCGTGCGGCCAATTCTGTGGACATAGTCTTCTATTTGGTTTGGCATGTCGTAATTAATTACGTGGCGAATGTCCTTCACGTCCAGCCCCCGAGAAGCCACGTCCGTGGCCACCTGAGCAGCAAAAAGCGACACACCCCAGCTGCTGCAGCAGCAGCAGCAGCAGCAGCAGCGGTGGCTGCAGAAGCAGCTGCGCGGGTGCCGGGTACACCCGTGGGAGCAGAGGCGACCGCCTGCTGGCTCTGGGCGCCGGCCAAACCCTAAACCCTAAACCCTAAACCCTAATTTGGCGGACCATGATGGGGTTTCTGCCTTGTTTGAATTCGTCCAAAACCCAAGTCCTTTCTTCCTGCTTCTTGTCGCCGTGTAGAGACAGCGCGGGCCAGCCCTCCATCCGCAAGTCCCGAGTCAAGTTGTCCGCACCTGCATGCATGCATGCATGCATGCATGCACTCTCATCTCGTCACTTGCATGCATGCATGCATGCACTCTCATCTCGTCACTTGCATGCATGCATGCATGCACTCTCATCTCGTCACTTGCATGCATGCATGCATGGACTCCGAGTGTGGTCACTTTCAAATTACCAAACAACTAATTAACACATCAATTAATTGTCTAATTAACTAAGTAACTAGATAAATAAATAAATAGACAAATAAATGATTAATGGATAAATAAATGTAATTAACTAAGTGACTAAATGAATGAAATAAATAAATGAATAATAAATGAATAAAAAACAAAATAAATAAGTAATTTTCTTTTTACCTCTCTTGGTTTCTGCGAAGACCAAAATCTTCGACCCGTCCATTATGCGGCGCAAGAGAGACATGAGTTGTGCCCTTTTTTCGTATTCCTGAAAACAGTTTAAAAGAATTTAGATAAAATAAAATTAATTAAACTAAAAAGAAAATTCAATTTAAAACGAAAATTTGATTCAATGTAAAAAGATATTCAGTGCTGGTTCCAGGCCTCTGCATTCAGCGCGAAAAACGCCGCGAAATAACCCCAAAACACACAAACCCTAAACCCTAAACCCTAAACCCTTGCGCGGCCGCCGCGGAAAAGGCCCGAGGCCATGCAATATATTCTCTTTAAGAATATAAAAACAAAAACACAAATATAAAAGTACAAAAATTAAAAAACAGACTAAGAAACAAATAAAAGTGACACAATAGAAGCTCTTCAAACATACACGCACTCACCCAAACAAGAACTGCTGCTGCTGCTGCTGCTGCTGCTGCCCGTGGGGCCGCTGGAGCCGCATGCATCGCATGTGTGCATTTTTACTAAGTTAGATAAATAAATAAAATATATAAAATATATTTTATTTATTTAGAGCAACAAATTAAATAAATGCAACGCCCAGCCACTCCTCTCCCACCGAGACGTCCCCGCGATTCCCTACCCGCACCAGAAGCAGCAGCAGCAGCAGCAGCAACAGCAGCAGCAGCCGCAGCACCTCCGCCGCTGCCCATGAAAGCAGCGGCGGAGATGTGCAGCAGCTGCAGCAGCTGCAGCCGCTGCCGCCCAAGCTGCAGCAGCAGCAGCTGCCGCAGCAACACCCACAGCTGCTGCAGCCGCTTAAGCTACTGCAGCCGCAGCAGCTGTTGCTACAGCAACTTCCGCAGCTGCGAAGCCACTGCAGCTGCAGCCTCAGTTGCTGCAGCAGCAGCAGCAGCAACAGCTGCTACTCCTGCAGCCGCAGCAGCAGTTACTGCAGCAGCTGCTGCACCCACGGCCGCTGCGCCTGCTGCAGCTGCCGCAGTCGCTGCAACAGCCGCAGCCGTGGCCACAGCAGCCGCAGCAGCAACAGTCGCTACTCCTGCGGCTTCAGTGGCAGCTGCTGCAGCAGCTGCTGCAGTCGCCGCCGCAGGTGCTGCACGTGCTGCAGCAACGGTTGCAGCTCCTGCAGCCGCAGGCGCTGCAGCAGCTGCTGCAGGCACAGCAGCCGCAGGTACTGCAGCAGCTGCTGCAGGCACAGCAGCCGCAGGTACTGCAGCAGCTGCTGCGGCCACAGTAGCCACAGGTGCTGCAGCAGCTGCTGCAGCCCGAGCTGCAGGTGCTGCAGTAGCAACTCCTGCAGCTACAGGGTCAGCTGCTGCAGCAGCTGCAGCTGCCGCAGGTGCTGAGGCCGCAGGCGCTGCAGTAGCTGCAGCTGCAGCCGCAGGTGCTGCAGCAGCTGCAGGTTCTGCTGCTGCTGCTGCGCGTCGGTGGGAGCACTGGGGAAAGTTTGGGGCTTTGTCACGGCTTGCATGCGCAGCAGCAGCGGAGTGCATGAACACTTGCATGCAAATAAAAGAGTATTTGCATGCAAGTGGCAAAAAGGTGCATTCTCAGGAAAATAAGCATTTAAATAAGTACAAAACAACGAAAAATAAATATAGAATATGTTTATAATTATTATAAATATTAAAGATTTATATTTATCTGCAAAATACAATTTATAATGCATCTACAGATACACCCCACAGTGCATGCGCCAAGCCACGCAGTGTACATACACCGCAGCACACTACTATGCGCCCGGCCAAAACTTCCGCACAGGACATTTGCATGCATGCATGAAAGTGCATGCATGCATTTGCATGCATGCATTTGCATGCACTTGCATGCATGCATTTGCATGCATGCACTTTCATGCATGCGTTTGCTAGTGGAGTGTATCGACAGAGAAGGCCCTGGCAGCTGAGGCGGGAGAGTAGGGCTTGGGGTGTCTGTACACCCCGTGCCCTCGCGCTAGGGTTTACTAGGGTTTGCCACTACAAATTATTAGGGTTTACAAAACCCTCAATATTAATTATTAGAATGTATAAAGGTTTTATATTATTGTTAGGGTTTACAAAACCCTTACTATTAGAACCTGTAAGGGTTTAAAACTGTCTATCAGGGTTTGCTAGGGTTTATCCTCCTTTATTAGGGTTTGCTAGGGTTTATTATCTTCTACTAGGGTTTGCTACGGTTTATTATCTTCTACGAGGGTTTGCTAGGGTTTAGCAGCCTTAAACCCGCACCTCAGCAGACTGCAGCAAATCCCTAATCGAGGGTTTCTGCGTCCCACGCTCTAGGGTTTACATAGGGTTTACCTAAACCCTATTTGAGGGTTTAGGCGACCCACCACTCCTCTAGCTTCCTGGGTCTAGGGTTTAGGGTTTCCGCTAATACAAACACTTCTTCTTTAATACTATCGCAGGCCTTGCATCCCGTCTACCTCAACAACAACCTACATTCTAGGGTTTAGGGTTTAGGGTTTCTAACCTGAAGAACAAACACTTCTGGAATATTATCACAAGCTTTAAGATCCAAACCCCCCACATTAATACGAAGAATACCTTGTCTACAAAACCCCCCATCCACTGTTTACAAATTAGTGTCTACTAATTAGGGTTTAGGGTTTAGGGTTTAGCAGTGTTTAGGGTCAATCTCAACAGTTTTCAAATCAATTTTAACAAAAGCTTAAACATTATGCCAAGCTTCAACTCCAAACTGCGGGCACTAATATGAACAGGTTCTTTGCAAAAACCCTCATCTAGTGTTTACAAACTAGGGTTTAGGGTTTGGGGTCTATTTTCACGAGTTCGAAGCCATTTTCGGTGCTTTTAGAAGCATTTAAGTCTAAACTGAAGAACAAAGACTCCCCCAACACTATGACAAGGTCTAAGGTCCGGCCCCCCGACAACACTGCGGCCCAAGTCTTGTCTGCACGTCGACCTCCGAACTAGGGTTTAGGGTTTAGGGTTTAGGGTTTGGGGTCTATTTCCACGGGTTTGAAGCCGTTTTCGGCGCTTCTAAAGCAATTTAGCCTAACCTGAAGGACAAAGACTTCCTGCTTGATGTTGTGGCAAGCCTTGAGGTCCAAACTGCCGACGTTAATGTGGACAGGCTCCTCCTTGCAGAGGTCCCTGGCGAGGGTTTGGACCTCCTTGGGCCAGGTGGCGGACCACATGAGGGTTTGGCGGTCGGGGCGGATCTGCGAAACGATCTTCCGGATTTGCGGCTCAAACCCCATGTCCAGCATTCTGTCAGCTTCATCTAAAACGAGATAAGTGACTCTTTTCAAGTTTGTCACGGAGCTTTCCAAGAAGTCGATGAGTCTCCCGGGGCACGCGATGCAGATTTCCGCGCCCCGCTGCAGCTCCTGCACCTGCAGCCGCTTCGGCACGCCTCCGTACGCCGCTGCGCGCAAACCGCGTTTTAGGGTTTAAACCCTGTTTTGGGGTTTCCGCGCCCTGCGCCCTTCCGCCGGCTCGCGCCCGCCGCCCCTGCGCCCTCGCGGCTTTTGCTCGCTCTTTTGGGGTTTCAGTCCCCGTTTCGGGCTTCTGCACGCTGCTTTGGGGTTTTTATACGCTGATTTGGGGTTTTTGTACGCTGATTTAGGGTTTGCACGGGGAGGGAAGGCATGGGGCGGGTCTGGAGAAGTACGGGTCTTAAAAAGACACTTACAGCCATTTCCAAAGATGGAACTCATTTGTGTTCAAAAAATTTATTTAAATGGAACCAAAAGGACCCAATTAAAATGATATTTAATTAAATACAAAGTGTTTCGTTGAATTAAAAAGATACCTGCATGGTTTATCTTTGAGGGAGAAGCAAAAAGTCTGCACTGGGCCCTTATTTGTTCCACCAGCTCTCGAGTGGGAGCCAAAATCAAAGCTATTGGCCCGTCCCCAGCTCTGCAGCAGCAGCAGCAGCAGCAGCAGCAGCAGCAGCAGCAGGTGCAGCCGCGGGCGATGTGTGGGCGCGCCGCAGCAGCAGCGCGAAGGGGAAACGTGGCCAAAGCAGCGGGAAGAAGAGCGGCAGGGAAGAAGGGGCAAAGCAAGTGCTCCCTAGCAGCAGCAGCAGCAGCAGCAGCAGCAGCAGCAGCAGCAGCAGCAGCAGCAGCAGCAGCAGCAGCAGCAGGGAGCCCACCTCAAGTAGGGCTGCGCATTTATGTGGACAATCCCCGGCAGCAAAAAAGCCAAAGTCTTCCCTGAGCCTG